CAACCGACCCCGATCCCCATGAACGTGGCCTGGGCCCCAATGGCCGATTCACCCCCTAGATGGGGATATAGGCCGTGCCCTTCGGGTTTCGAGGTGTGTGTCCCCAACTGGGGTGCAAGGATGCTGGGGGTCTGGATGGCGAGGGGGATGGGGATGTGGATCGGTTAAAAGATACCGACTTACGCGGGCAGCTTACGCGCCAGCGTTGGCGCAGACGACCCCGATTTTTTGCGTCGCCCACCCTCTAGAAGGCACAATCGCCCGGGCTCCGGCGCTCGGGCCGAGACTCGCAGTGCCAAACATGCTGCGGAATCTCGGGAGCTGCACGGGGAGGCGCTGCGAGTACCGCGCCGAGGGGTAGAGGCAGGCACCGCCTGGGCTTATCTACAGGGCAGGGCGGCGCTGCTGCTTGGGAGCTTCCCACCGGCCGCCAGAACTCGCATCGCCCAGCGCACGTGCACACGGAAGTGCTGGCAGAAGAGCCTTTGAGGTCGGCGCCGAAAACCCCACCATGACATTGCGTTGTTACTACTCCCCGCGCGCGGGTCAAGGAGATGGACGAGGAGGAACAGATGACGAGGGAGGAAGAGGACTCGAATATCTGATGTCCTAGATGGACACGTGACAAAAGGACGAGAAGCAGGCAGAGCAGGGAGAGGAGGAGGGCGAGGAGGAGGGGGAGGCCTCGAACGCGGTGGGGCCCGACGTGACGGGCAACGGGAGCGACAGGAAGAAACCGAAGAGATCAATACGAAGAAAAATATGGAGCGGGAGGAGGAGGAGGAGGAGGAGGAGGAGGAGGACCAACAGCGAAGCTGCGGCGCACCCGCGGGCGGCGCAGCAGGGCGCCCCTCAGAAGAGCGAGCCGAGGATCCCCCCGAAGCGGGGCTCCACCTTCGGCTCCTCCGCGGGCTGGGCGGCGGCACCCGGCCCTCCTGTCCTCCTTCTCCTCCTCCTCCTCCTCCTCCCCTCCTCCTCCTCCTCCTCCTCCTCCCTCCTCCTCCTCCTCCTCCTGGTCCTCCTCCTCTCCTCCTCCTCCTCCTCCTCCTCCTCCTCCTCCTCCTCCTCCTCCTCCTCCTCCTCCTCCTTCTCTCATCCTCCTTCTCCTCCTCCTCGTCCTCCTCCTCCAACTCCTCCTCCTCCTCCTCCTCCTCCTCCTCCTCCTCCTCCTCCTCCTCCTCCTCCTCTCCTCCTCCTCTCCTCCTCGTCATCATCATTATCTCCTCATCCTCATCCTCCATCCTCATCATCAGCAGCAGGCCTCCTCCTCCTCCTCATCTCTCCTCCTCCTCCTCCTCAATCATCATCATCATCATCATCATCATCATCATCATCATCATCATCATCATCATCATCATCATCATCATCATCATCATCATCCGCATGATCATTATCATCCTCATCATCATCAGCAGCAGCATCATCAGCATCATCCTCATCCTCATCAGCATCATCATCATCATCGCCATCATCATCATCCTCACCAACATCATCATCATCATCATCATCATCATCATCATCATCCTCCTCCCCATTATCATCATCAGCATCATCAGCAGCAGCATCATCATCAGCATCATCAGCAGCAGCATCATCAGCATCATCATCGTCACCATCATCAACAACAACCACAACAACAACCACAACAACATCAGCAACAACATCATCATCAGCAGCAGCATCATCCACATCATCATCATCATCATCATCATCATCATCAGCAGCAGCAGCAGCAGCAGCAGTATCACACTCATCCCCATCAACATCCTCATCCTCATCCTCATCCACATCCGCATCCTCATCCTCCTCCCCCTCCTCCTCCTCCTTCTCCTCCTCCTTTTAAGACTTTCCAGCCCTGTGGGAAAGGGCAGGGGAAACACCCCAGACCCTCTCCGAGCGTTTGCACTACCTACCCTCGCTCTATCTCTCTCTCTCTCTCTCTCTCCCTCCCAGCGCGGCGCGGCCCCATGATTGTCAGGCGCCGCACAACCTGGGAGGAGGAAGAGGAGGTGACACCTGTGGGTGGCGCAGAAAAGCGATGCCAGAGAGGGGTGAGCTTTACAGACCCTCCTCCTGACAGAATTCCTCTCCGTAACTTCTGGAGGTCAGGGGTGACGATCGGAAGGCAGGTGGGCTCCCTGAGTCGCACGGCGCGGCTCGAGGCAATAGCCCCACAGGCGCTGCAGAAGAGCACTGGCATACCGGCTGTTTCAGCCGACTTGACGGGCAATGTGTGCCTACATCCTAGCTTCTTGGCATCATCCAGGACATCTTGGAACGAAGCTGACAGAGAGAAACAACGCGTGGTGGCCAGCAGTCGGGATCCCAATCTGTGGCACGCCACACATCTCCAGTCTTTCTCATCCCATATCTGGGAATGGACCACCCTCGCTATGGCGCTCTTAACACTCGGAGGCCCTGGGAGGCGACGGAGAGGTCCGAAAAGCTCACGTCTGGGGGGCCAGAACTCCAGGATGCTTAGCATAGCCTGGCCGACCGTGGAAAAAAAATGCAAAACGGATCAAGCCATTGGTGGGCCAACCGCTGGCTCGAGCAGCTTATTTGGCCCACCTGTCAGCCAAGCCGTTGCCAAGTATGTGCAACTCATCTAGCTCAGAGGCGGCATCTTCGAGAGACCTGTGAGCGCGCTGATCTTAAGTAACGGGGGGAAACTGCGATCACGGGTCAGCTTCTCCCTTCTCCGCCAAAACCCTGCGTGTGTGGCCGAGTGGCTCCTGGCCCAAAGCAGATTTAGAGCTCCCTGGACTAAGGCCCGGCAGTCAACGTGCACGGCCTTGTCATCAAGAAAACCAGGGCTGAGATGGTCAAGCGCTTGCATCAACCCATGGTGTTCGGCTCCCAGGGCCGTCTTCGGGAGGCCATCGGGGACGGGGCCACAAGTCGCCTGCAACATGTTCCCCCGCGCGTCGCGCTCAATGACCGCCAGACCAGCTCGAGCTAGACTACTCTTATCTATATGGAAACAGCTGCCGTCAGTGTAAAAGTCCCCCCTCGCATGTGAAGCGAAAGGGCGCGGATTCGTTGCCGTGGGCATCTAAGTATACCACTGCAGCGTCAGACTGCCGCCCAGTAGACACAGGAGCCGCCGTCGATAGATTGCTGAATAGAGGCTCAGACTCTCCCATGTGCTCCACCATGGCGAGCGTCTCAGCGTCGATACCCTCTCTATCTGGAGCAAAGAGGGGCAAATCCACGCTCGGTGGTGCACCGTGTCAGGGGGGCCCGCAGCGCACGCAAAACCCATCCGTGTTGGAGCCCCACGATTATAGGGTCTTGTCAGCGGTGCAGGTATCACAAAACACGTGTTTAAAGATCCTCTTCTGGGTGGGGTTTGAACGGACGTCTTCCAGACAAGTCCCACCCCACATCCCCCTGCGTCCGAGTCGTTGTCAATCTTCTTGGTTTCAACAACCCTCATGTGGCACAAATCATGTAAACCCTTGATGAACTACTGTGTCAACATATGGGGAGGGGTGTCGGTGAGGGGTCATTGTTGGCCATTTCGTAAAATCCATCCCCATGCCTGGATTCGCGAACTCCAACCCCACCTCCCTCATCCATAAATGCAAATCCGCCATTGGGCCCGAAGGCTTCCGAAGCCAACTCGCACGATCAGGGTGACTGCTGAAGTGCTGCAGCGTGGTGCGGAAGACGTAGGCTAGTTCCTGCGCTGCTAGCCCGTCTCCCAGCTTAAAGTCTGCATCACTCGTCTGCCGCCACTCCTGACATTACCGCGTGAATGTACTCGCGACTAGTTTCGTAGGATCCTTCAAAAGGGTAGAGCCTCCATCCCAGCTCCATCCCACATCTTGGTATGGCCATGATTCTAGCACCTCTTCCCACCGTACGTTGCAGCAGGCTGCAAGCCTGTGAAGAACAGATTTGCCCTAGAATTCAGTCTCTTGAAAAGGTTAACCTTCTACAGCCGGGTTGGGATAGCACCAAAACGCTTTTTTCCCGAACAGCTCTGGCACCAGCTCGTTGTAAGTGCTTACCTGCACCGAAGTCCGCACCCAAATTACGAGGAAAGTGCTCGTCCTAGCCCGCCAGGTCCCCAAGGGCGGCCTGAGCAACAGGTACCAAGGCAACCGAGAATCCCGTCCCTACCATCTTTTTATCCGCTGGGGGCACATGTAGAAGTTCCTAGAGTAGCCTGGCCAAAAGCAGCGTCACACGCGTGAAGAAACATCCTCCTCCTCGTCCTCCTCATCCTCCTCCTCCTCCTCCAGCTCCTCCTCCCCCTCCTCCTCTTCATCCTCCTCCTCCCCAACGAGAACGACGGGGACGACGACGACGGCGACGACGACGACGACGACACCACAGACGACGACGACGACGACGACGACGACGACGACGACGACGACGACGACGACGACGATGACGACCTCTGTGCGGCGGGCGCGCCTTCGCGGGCGGGGCGGCGGCGCCAGGCTTGCCTACGGAACGGCAAGCGTGCGCCTCCTCCTCCTCCTCCTCCCCCCTCCACCTCCTCCTCCTCCTCCCTCCTCCTCCCTCCTCCTCCTCCTCCTCTCCTCCTCCTCCTCCTCCTCCTCCTCCTCCTCCTCCTCCTCCTCCTCTCCTCCTCCTCCTCCTCCTCCTCCTCCTCCTCCTACCTCTCCTCCTCCTCCTCCTCCTCCTCCTCCTCCTCCTCCTCCGCCTCCTCCTCCTCCTCCTCCCTCCTCCTCCTCCTCCCTCCTCCTCCTCCTCCTCCTCCTCCTCCTCCTCCTCCTCCTCCTCCTCCTCCTCCTCCTCCTCCTCCTCCTCCTCCCCCTCCTCCCTCCTGCTCCTCCTCCTCCTCGTCCTCCTCCTCCTCCTCCTCCTCCTCCTCCTCTCCTCCCCCTTCCTCCTCCTCCTCCTCCTCCTCCTCCTCCTCCTCCTCCTCCTCCTCCTCCTCCTCCTCCTCCGTCCTCCTCACTCCTCCTCCTCCTCCTCCTCCTCCGTATCCTCCTCCGTATCCTCCTCCTCCTCCTCCTCCTCCTCCTCCCCCTCCTCCTCCTCCTTCTCCTCCTCCTTCTCCTCCTCCTCCACAATTACTCAATATGAATACTACTCTCCCTCTTCCCCTGATGGCGTCCTGGGAGTAGTAGACCCCCCCGCGTACTCATTTTTTACACACAGGATTCCCAGGAGTTGGGTTTTCGCCTGTTTTTTTCAAAATGTTGCTCTCGCTGAGGCGCCGGCCTCATTTCTGCCCCCGAATCGTTCCGGATCGTGCTCCCGCTGCAGCGTGGGCCTCATTTTCGGATCGGTGTTTTGCCTCCGTCGTTCAGGATGGCGTTCTCGCCCCAGCGCGGGCCTCTTTCTCGCGCGCCCATCCGCCCGCCACCACCGCGCCGCACCACGCCCCGCCCCGCCGCACGCACACCCACCGCCACTTCCACCCACCAACGCACGCACGCACGCACGCGCACCACCACCGCGCACCGCCACCACCACCGCACTACCCCACCCACCACCACCACGCTACACCGCGTCACACCACATCACACGCGCGCACACACAGACACACGCACGCACGCACGCACGCACGCACGCACGCACGCACGCACGCACGCACACACACACACACACACACACACACATACATACACACGCACACACACACACACAAAAAACACACACACACACACACACACACACACACACACACACGCACACACACACGCACACACACACACACCACCACCGCCACCACCACCACCGCCATCACGCACGTACGCACCTGGCCCACCACCAAACCACCAAGACGCCACACCACGTCACACCACAGCACACGCGCACACACGCACACACACACACACACATACACACCACCACCACAACAACCACAACCACGCACACACGCACGCACGCACGCGACCACCACCCACTACGCACACGCGCGCGCGGCCACAGGTCCGCTACGACACGCGTCCGCGGATAGAGAAAATCAGCGCCATGGTAAGGGATGGGAGGGAGGGGTAGGATGTCAGATGTTGACGCGAGCGCACCTAACTTGTCCTCCTCCCCTACTCCTCCTCCTCCTCCTCCTCTCCTCCTCCTCCTCCTCCTCCTCCTCTATCCCTCCTCCTCTCCTCCATCCTCCTCCTCCTCCTCCTCTCCCATCCCTCCTCCTCCCTCCCTCCCTCCCTCCCTCCCTCCCTCCCATCCCTCCTCCCCCTCCCTCCTCCCTCCCTCCCTCCCCTCCCTCTCCTCCTCCCTACGCCCCCCCCCCCACAACCTCCAGCCCAACCCACCCCACCCACGGGAAAACAGGGAAGTTGGACCGAGAGCGCCATGCCGAGAGGAGCCCGAGACGAGCGAGGAGGCACTACGGTTTCTGTCCTCGCCACGCGGTGGCTTCGATCAATGGAGAACTGACGAGAGGAGAGAGGAGGGACGAGGAGGATGAGAACGAGGAGGAAGAGAACGACGACGGCGACGGCGACGACGACGACTGTAAGACCAACGACGACGAAAGTGAGAATAACGACGACGACTACGACGGCCACGACGACGACGACGACGACGACGACGACGACGACGACGCCGCCGCCGCCGACGACGACGACGACGACGACGACGACACCACCGACGACGACGACGACGACGACGACGACGACGACGACGACGACGGAGGAGGAGGAGGAGGAGGAGGGAGGAGGGAGGAGGGAGGAGGTGGGAGATTTTTCCCAATGTGTTCAATGTGTTCTGCGGCTCTCCGAGGGCTCGGGTGTTGTCGAAAGGCCTCCGGAGGCTTTACTAAACGGTTCTGCACAGTCCTGGAGAAAACAGAAAGAGGCGGGGCGGAAGAGAAGCAGGCGGAGAAAAAGGAGGAGGAGGAGGAGGCGGAGGAGGAGGCGGAGGCGAACCGGGGGCGGAGCGAAGGCGGAGGCGTGGGGGGGAGGCAGGAGAAGAGGGAGGGAGGAGGACGAGGGGGAACAGAAAATGGTTGGGTAAGACTCCGCGGAGCCAGCTCTCGGTGAACACATCGAGCACGGCACAGCAACTCTGGGGGATGCGACTCTCTTGCTCGCCCTGCCACGAAGCGATTCAGCGGCCTTGGCATATTCGCAAAAAACAACCTCCCGGAGAAGGAGACAAGGGGCCCGCAACGAGGCCGCTCCCCGCGGTGTTTGGAGAGGAAACGCACGATCCCGATTGCCCGGGAGCACCGCCCTCGACGCTACAGTCTGACTTGACGGCAAGCTCCTACAGCTGGTAACAACGATCTGGGAGAAGGGCAAGGGACCAGGGCCCCCTACCCGCGCAAGCCGCGGGCGGCGGGCGGCGGGCGGGTCGGGATTTCAAAAGCACTCCTAAGGATTCTCTTTTGCAGCGGGATGCCATTGAGTACCGGGTGGAGTGTCGGAGACAGTTGCACTGGGTACTGGGCGCGGCGGTGAACATGGCAGCACGGAGGACGGACGGCGGGCGGCGGCGGGGTCGGTCGGCGGGCGGTCGGCGGGCGGGTCGGGATTTTGATAGCGCTCCTCAGGGTTCTCTCTCGCAGCGGGATGCTGCTGTGGAGCACTCTGTGCGGTGGTGAACATGGAAGCACGGAGGACGGACGGCGGGCGGCGGCAGGGGCGGTCGGCGGGCGGGCGGCGGGCGGCGGGCGGGTCGGGATTCTGATAAGAATCCTTCGGATTCTCTCTCGCAGCGGGATGCCGTTGAGTGCTCGGTGGCGCGTTGGAGACGGTTGCTGTTGAGTACTGGGTGTGTGTTGGAGACGGATGCTGTGGAATACTGGGTGTGGGAGTGAACATGGAAGCACGGAGGACGGACGGCCGACGGCGGCGGGGGCGGTCGGCGGGCGGACGCTGAGGGAAGGGGGCAGAAGGGAAAGTGAAGCCGAATCGTGTCCCCCACGGAGCTGCCTGGGCCTTGCTGAGTGGCGCCGCCCCGCACCCCCGCCAAAGTGGCTTGGGAAGAAGCGGCGCCGCCCCCCCAAAAAAAGGACTTGGGCCAAAACAACTGGTCAGCAAGCCGCGCTCGCTGTTCCTCCTGTGCCAGAACGGGAGGAACCGAAAAGGCACCGGGCAATGCAACGCAAAGCAATGGTCGAACGGAGAACGTCCCGTGCAACGAAAGGCAAAGTAATGGTCCATCCGAGAACTTCATTCGGGAGTGGTCGTGGACCCCAGCAATTATATATGGGTATAGTCGCATGAGAGCGGGCACCACCAGCATAACGACAATCAAAGAACTTGGAACGGCCCGACTTGTGGGAAAAAAACAAGGAAATGCGGATGGTAAGAAAAGCACACGGGCGAATATTGAATAGACGATACCGTACTTATTCATATACCTATGCATGTGCACATACATGCATACATATATACACATGTATGTGCGTACACATGCATAAGCATATACGTAGACATATACATATACATAGACAAACACATGTACATGTACATATGCCTCTATATATATATATACATATAGACATGGAAATCGGCATATATACATAGTCATAGGCATATGCACATGTATGTGCATATACACATACGTGCACGCATAAAGAATTGCATGCATACGTACATACACTTATAACATGTGTGTATGCCCCAAAAATACACGACATAGGGAAAAGGAAACCCCCACGGATGGGCGGACCTAGTTCCTCGGGGAACTCCGCGCCCCCAATGCCACCGACAACGGCTTCAAGAACGGGTCTCGGAAGGGTCCTGGAGAATCCCAGGCTTCCCTGACGGACCCCGAAATCAAGCCAAAGTGTATGATGACGCCCCCATAGCACCTCCAGCCGGGCCCACTAGACTTCACAGAGGCTTCCCAAAGCGCGAGATAGCCTAAGAGCGCTCCGAGACGGCCGACGATGGCCTCAAGATGCTGGGGTGTGCTAGCAAATTCCGATCTGTAACTGCACTCACGGCGTCTTGAGTACTCCCGACAAGCTGCTGGGGGGGGGATTCGAGCGTTGGAACTGACGAGTTGAAGCTCTTCAAATTCATTGCACCGTAAAAGCTGTATCCCACAGAATGAACCTCCTTCCTTGCACCACGAAGACTGCACCCCGTAGCTTGCACCACATAGGTTGCACCCACCACATAGGTTGTACCGCATAGGTTGCAGACCGTTGGTTGCGCCACGTAGGTTGCACCCCACAGCTTGCGCCGCATAACTTGCACAACGTAAACCTTCCCCCACAGATTGCAACACCTATGGATTGCGCCATATCAGGTGCACAGCGTAAGTTGCATCCAACTGAGCACACCACATGGTGCGCATCGAGAGTGCAAAGACCCAGTGTTTTGCACCCAGGCTGGCAAACATAAATGCAACAAGTATCTTGTTTGAAAGCATGCATGGCGAACTGTTCGTCGACCCTAAAGCCTCATAAGGTGCACCAAAACTCTAATTGGAACCCGGGGCCACCACAGAGCATGACAATGCCGTGAAGAAGCAGCTGGCAGGCCAGGTTCTTGCTTTAAGCTCCTGCTGTAGAACGGGCGACTGGGGGTCCTTGTGTTTTCTGGTCCCTGGGGGCCTCGTTGGGACAAGGAGAAGGAGGAGGAGGAGGAGGAGGAGGAGGAGGAGGAGGAGGAGGAGAGGGAGGAGGAGGAGGACGACGACAACACCAGCGACGACGACGACGACGAGGACGTTGACGACGACGCAACGACAACGACGAGGGAGGGCGAACTCGCTTGATTGCCCCGGGCTGCCCGCAACCAGACCGTCCACCTTCAGCTCCAGCGGCTGCGCCAGCGCGGCCTCCGCGGCAGGCGCCGCGCCGCCCTTGCCCGCGAGAGGCCCCAGCGCTGGCAGTAGGGACACCCACGGCTTCTCGAGGAGGTCCTGCCAGGAAGAGGGCGGCCACGACGACGACGAAGTCAACAACGGCTTCTCGAGAAAGAGGACGACGACGAGGAGGAGAGGGCGAGGGGGAAGGGAAAGGAGGAGGGGAAGGGGACGAGGGCAGGAACGGGAGGAGGTTCGCTGCGAACCGAGAAAGGAAGGCGAGGCGGGGCCGCCCCCTCGGGAGGGACATGCGCCAGGGCCCCCCATCGAGGCTCCAGCCCTCTGGGTCGCGAGCCCCCGACAGAGCGGCCCCGCCCCCCAACGCACCGCCCGAGCTCCCAGGCCCCAGGCTCCGCGCGCACGGTGGCCCTCCAAGACGGAGGGCCTCTGCTCTGGCCTGCACGGCGGCCCTGGTGCTGAGAGGGGGCCTCCGCCTCGGCTCGGGGCGCGGAGCCGAAGGCCTCCAGCCAGGGGTGGCGCGCGAGCCTCGGGGCGGCAGCCTGCCGCGAAAGAGCCGGGAGCCTCCTGGGAGCCCTCGAGGCCTCCTCGGGGGGGCCACTCAGGAACGAGCTTGCCAGCGATGACGGGCGGCTAGAGAGGGGGCACGAGGCTCGTCCAGAGCCCGTCCCGCATCAGAAGCATGCACAACCCCCCATAAGGGACGCCGACGCACCGCGAGCGCGGACCCACCCCTGAGCCGACGAAGCCCGAGGCAAGAACTGCAAAGGCCTCACTGCTTACGGTAGACCGCAAATTGGCAGCAGGCTGTTCAATGAAGGATAGGGTCTCCGCCGAGGAGCAGGCGGAGGAGGAGGAGGAGGAGGAGGAGGAGGAGGAGGAGGAGGAGGACAGGAGGAGTGGGGAGGTGGAGGGGGAGAAAGAGGAGGAGGAGGAGGAGGACAGGAGGAGTGGGGAGGTGGAGGGGGAGAAAGGAGGAGGAGGAGGAGGAGGAGGAGGAGGAGGAGGAGAGGGAGGAGGAGGAGGAGGAGGAGGAGCCCTTTTCACGGCCAGCCCGAAGCCACTCGTCCTCGGCTGCCGCCTCTCCTCCTTCCGCCCCGGCCGCCACCAGCCCCCGACCCCCAGCAGCAGCAGCAGCAGCAGCAGCAGCAGCAGACGGCGGGCCAGCAGCAGCAGCAGCAGCAGCAGCAGCAGCAGCAGCAGCAGCAGACGGCAGGCCAGCAGGAGGAGGACGAGGGGGGACGGGGGCCTCTGGTGGGGCCTCGGGCTGGGGGGGGAACGGTCCTCGTCGTCGCCGTCGTCGTCGTCGTCACCGTCGTCGTCGTCGTCGTCGCCGTCGTCGCCGTCGTCGCCGTCGTCGTCGCCGTCATCGTCGTCGTCGTCGGGCCTCGCGACGGCCCACAGCGTACCCTCGACGGCGCACAAGGACAGAGGTCAACGAGCCCCGTGGCCAGCCCCTGGCGGTCGTGGAAACCTTTCCGCGCACAACGAATGGAGAACCGATCCCTGACCTGGCATGCCTGCGCCAATCCAAACACCCTTCCAATATATATATATAGTGTAAAGATCTATACATATATATAGACATACAATACTGCATTGGCGCTTCGCGCCATGCACTATTGTCCTTGAAGTTTGATATGCAGGCGGAGTGGCAGGAAGGTCAAAGAGACAAATTAGCGATATCTCCTTGTGGCCTTTTCTGGCGTCGCCGTTATAATGATGCTATTCGTTATCCTTCCTCCTCCTCCTCCTCCTCCTCCTCCTCCGCCTCCTCCTCCTCCTCCATGTGTCTTTTCCCTCATTCTTGCCCTACCCTGCGAATTCTTCCCCATCCTCCTCAGCTCTTTTTGCGGAGGCTCCTCCTTGGAGAGCCTCTGGGGGCCTCACTGAAGTGTTTCAGGCTTTCTCAAGGCCTTCGGGAGGCTCTGGGGGCCTCTGGGGGCTTCCTCGGGCCACCCTGCCTCCAACCACGGTCTCCCTGAACGACCGAGTCACGATTTGGCTTCGGAGGGTGTCTTGGGGCCATCTTGGGCCGCCATGGGGCTGTCTTACGCCATCCTGGAACCCTGTTGTGCCGTCTTGGGTCTCTCTTGGACTGCCTGGAAGCCCTTTCGGATGGTGTTGTTGCGATGTTCGAGCCTCCCAGGCGGTCTCCAGAATCATGCCCCAAGAGCTGCCTTGCCATCACTGACAAGACAGCTCTTGGGGCATAGCCGAGTGGAAATAAATATGCATGTGTGTGTGCGTGCATATATATATAATCATACAATCATACACACAGGCACACATCCATACATACATATAGGCATACATGCATACATGCATGTATACACTCCTGCATGCATGCATACGTACGTACAGATGTACATACATGCACAAAGACATGCATATATATATATATACACATACATACATACATGCATACCTACCTGTCTACCTACATACCTACCTATCTACCTACATGCATGCATACATACATACATACATACATACATACATATGTGCATGCATACACACATACATACATACATACATGCACAAACAGCCATGCATACATGCATGCACATACATGCATACATACATGCATGCATACAGACAGACAGACATGCACGCACACATGTATAGACATGTATGCGTACATGCATGCATACATACATGCATACATGCCAACATGCATACATACATAAATGCATGCGTGTATGCATACATACATAAATGCATACAAACAAGCATGCACCTACCTACATACGTATATATACATTCATAAATGTACACGCACCCATACATACATACATACATACATACATACATACCTACATACATACATGCATACAAACAACCAAACATGCATACATACATACATACATACATGCATATATACATACATACATACATACATACATACATACATACATACATACATACATACATACATACATACATACATACACACATGCATACATACATACCTACATACAGATAGCCGTACATACATACACATCCATACATGTAACCACACAGTCATACAAACATACATACATGTATACACACATATGTATATACATACACTTCTATATATATATATATATATACATATACATATATACATGTAGATCGGCGGCCGCCCCGTGGCTGGCCCTGAGGTTGGCAGGTCCGTCCACTTCTGAATGCCCCATCGAGCGCGAACTGGCAGGACTAGCATCAGCAGCCCCCGCGTGCAGCGCCTGGAAAAAGCGCGGCCCACGCAGACGTCAGCATGATGCACACGGCGCTTGGCCTCGCTCGCCCGCGTCTGAATCTTGCACCTGGCCTCTCCGCAGCCGAGAGGCCAGGCTCCGCAGCATCGACAGGTCAGCGCACCTGCGATTTACCCAAAACACCAGAAGCAGCATTGGCTCCCTTGCAGTCGTGGAAGCAGGCTCCCCTGAGACGGCAGTTCCAGCAATTACCACGCGCACGCGTGCTTTAAAAGCGTTACCCCGTCGAGTCGTGCCTGCAAAAAGCGGCAGAACCATGCCTTAGGGGCGCTCGTCGTGCCTCGCCCCCCCGCGGCGCAGACCATCACCGAGAGAGCGTACGATGCACGAGCGGCACGACAAGAGCTCACAACACTTGACAGGCACTACCGCGGATCCGCAGTATCCTTTCGCTGCCCGTGGGCCAACAGAATCTTGAGCCAAAGCGATTTCGGGGAAGAGAAGGAGGAGGAGGAGCGGGCCAGGAATACAAGGAGGAGGGAGGAAGAGGGGGAACGCCCAAGGGAAGGGGGGAGGACGGCGAATGGGTAGAGGAAGGGGAGGTGGAAGGCGATGGGGGGGAGGGAAGGAGTCCGGAGGAGTTCCTGCGCAGAGACGTTCTGGAGCAGGCCCACAGGCAGCTTGGCGTTGCGCTTGCAAACGAATGTGCCCGCGTCGCCTTACCAGCCGACTTCCCTCGTGTCCATTATCATACTCATCCTCCTCAGCCTTCTCATCCCTCTCCACCAATATTCTTCAACTCCCCCTTGCTATTCGAAGTATCACTGTTATTGTTATCATCTGCATCCTCGTCCTCATCCTACGCCTCATCATCACCACCACCACCATCACCGCCACGACCATCAACACAAAACACCATCACCGCCACCACCATCACCAACATCATCGTCATAAGTATCGTCATCATCATCCCCATTCATCTGCCTTCGTCCTGCACGCCGATCCTCCTCCCTTGTCTGGCTCGTTTCCCTCTTGCCTTCTCCTCCTCCTCCTCCCCCTCCTCCTTCTCCTCCTCCCCCTCCTCCTCCTCCTCCTCCTCCTCCGCCTCCTCCTCACCCCTGTCCGCCCTCATCTTTCCTTGTCCGCACTCCTCCCCTTTCCCTTCCCCTTTTCCCGCCCCACCCCCTCCCCCTCTGGCCGAATTGTACACACCGGTTTGATGGTATATACACCGGTGGAATGGAGTTGTCCCTGGTCAAACTGGCGCATTCCCCGGTTGCTTCTTCTACAACTTGAGGAAATCTTACTCGTCTCAGAGAGGCATCGTTCAGGCCTCTTTGAAGCTTCTACGAGGCCTCCAAGACGCCTCTAAAAGGCCTTTCAGAAGCCTCTAAGACGCCTCTACGAGGCTCCTTAGAGGCCTCGTAGAAGCCTGTAAGGGGACGTCTTAGAAGCCTCTTAGAACCTTCAAAAAATTGTTAAGAGGCTTCTTAGAAACCTCTACGAGATTCTGCGAGCCTTCTAAAAGGCTTCTGAAAAGCTTCTTAGAGGCTTCTCAAATGTTTCTAAGAGGCTTCTAAGTGGCCTTTAAAAAGCCTCTAAGAAGCCTATACTTGGCTTCTAAGAAGCCTCTTAGACGCTTCATCAAAAAAACTTCGAAGATAATTCTGAAGGCTTCTAAGAGGCTTCCACGAGGCCCTCTAAGAAGCCTCTAAGAAGCCTCAAAAAAACTCTACGAGGCTTCCAAAGAGGCCTTCCAGAAGCCTCTTAGAAATCTTCGAGGCTTGTAAGATGCCTCTGAAAAGCCTCTACGAAGCCCGTACGAGGCTTCTAAAAGGCCTCTTAGAGGCTTGAAAACGCCTCTAGAGGCGTCTTTTTTTTCAGAGGCCTCTAGGACCTGGAAGAGGCTTCCAAGAAGCATCCACGAGGCCTCTATGAGGCCTCTACAATGATTTTGAAATTCACCTATGTCTACCACACAAGCGCCATATAATAACATTAATGTAACTAGTCCAACAAGTAGTACTACTCGTAGTAGCAGTATCACCACTACTACTACCACCACCACTACCAC